GGCTTCAGGAGATTCATCAAACAAAAATATGGTGCTCTTTCCTCAGGAGGCTGAGAGTCACGTTGCATTATATCACTGTTAATTAAAATGAAATATGCAGGTCGGTTATTCTTTGTATTGCTTCCTGACGCATGTGCATGTGCTAACTATAGAGCGCTGATTTAAACAGCAAGTGTTAGAAAGCTTAAGACTTTATTTCCTCTCATTTTTTTCAAAGCCAGCTGTTTTTTTTTTTTTCCTTCTTCTCCAATTCCATTTTTCAACAAAACAAAGTGAGTCTAAAACTATCCTGATAAACACGAAGCTTTAAATAGCTTGACTGTGCTTGTTGTTCTCATGAGCAGTGCTGTCAGGATTCTGGCGGTAACTGCCCTGATTGGTGGGGTGTCACGGTATTTTTTGATGCAGTGAGTAGTCGTCCTGCGGCCGGCGTCGATACCAAGCAACCTCTGATCGGGGAACAGCGACTGTCAGGACCGCACCTGTAACACGAAGACCTCGCGTCACCTTCTGTCCAGAGTGGAAGGTTGTGCGCAGACACGCTTTGCATCTCTGGCCCGAGCAATCCTCCTGAGACCGGACACGATCCCAGCTGTTGTCTTCGTTTTAATGCACTCTGAATAATATTAAAGCGGATTCAGTTGAATTTATTAATGCGGCTTAGCCCTTGGAGAGATGCTTTTAAAGGCCAATGATTTAATTTCAGCTCTTAAAGGCCATCTTCTGTTCTTAACAGTATAAAGAATTATGGCTTTTGCCATATCTTAACATGGCTGTGTACTGTGGGCAGCAAAATGAATTATTAGGAAACTGAAGCTACTGAAAACAGCAGCTATTAGTGACAGTTTTTTTCTAAGTTGTTACAGACAACATCCGGCCTGATTATTAGGATTTATACCTGCTATTATCATGAGAGACTGAAGATTCACAACTAGGTGTGCTCAGGTAGGCCTATATGGGAAAACTTTGTTTAGCTTTTTCTTAACATTAAAGCTACCGTAAATTTTGTTGTATAAGTCGCAGTGTTTTTTTTTGCATAAATTAGCATGGATGTGACTTATACAGTAAAGCAACATATTTATGTTTTTTCCCACATTTTTTCCCAATTTTTGGCTGAGATCTGACGATTCATTCATTTTGACAAGGAAAATATTGAACACTACCATTTTCAGCCACTAGAGGGCCCTTGATATATATGGCAAGCTAAGTGTCTCATTATTAGGTAAAAGTGTCTATTAATCAGACACTTGGCTTGCCATACTAAGCCACCTTCGTCCCACTCCGGAACTCCTGGAGCAAACGTCAAATCAGCTGCATTTCAACGCGTCACCCAGGAGAAATGCAGCTGATTTGACCATTAAAGTGCATTTATTAAGTAAAAGTTCAACTGAGACACACCTTTACTATATTGCCGAGCAAACAAATAATTGTTTTTAAGTCTTGTTAAATTGTTGTTAAAGTCCTCCAGTGCATGCTCCCGCGGCCAGCATTTGGCAGCCAATTGATTTTTGGCACACTGGCCCACGTTTCTGGGTTGTCAGCGGTCACGCATAATAGATGTGACTTATATGGCGGTGTGATGTATTTATGTTTTTTCCCACTTTATTACACATATTTGTATGGATGTGACTTATACAGCAGTGTGACGTGTACAACGGCAAGTACGGTAGTACTCCTCTGGGCCATAAAAACTAAAAATTTTAATAACATGGCAATTGAGACTCATACGAGTGCATACACTGTAAGTTATGGTCTCATTAAATACAGGTAAAAAAATAATAACCTGCTTGTTCTTCACCCCAAACTGACTACAAGCAGCCTCATGTTGCACAGATGTTGAACATGTTAAATCAAAATTCCTCTCAGAGTTGTCACGGGTGCAAAAGCATCATTTGATGCAGTTCCAAACGAAAAATTGTGTATTTTCTCTCAGTCGTGTGCCTCTCTAACGCATATGTGTCAAACTCCAGGCCCGGGGTCCTAATGTGGCCCTTGTTGACATCTTATCTGGCCCTCAAGACGATATGTGAAACGTAAAATACTTCTATCTCTTGATTTTTTCATTACTCTTTGATTATGATGTCGAAAGCACAAGAGAGAACATGAAATGAGAGCAATCAAACTCTTGCTGAGGAACCTGTGACCAAGAAAAGATGTTGAATATCTGATCTGAGCTAATGTAGATTAGTTTGAAAAAGGTTTTAATTGTGGCCCCCTTTTGTAAGTGAGTTTGACACCCCTGATCTAGCGAGTCCCCAACAGTTGCAGCCCAGTGAGATATCACCTTAAACCAACCCTGCTCTTTACTGGCATTAGTGTTCTTTCTGGGGTCAGACCACAACCTTTGAACCATAAATTTAAACCAGTTGGGAGTTCAGAACTCCATGACCCCCCTCTCAGGTGGTACAAGGAGATGCACATCGCTTGTGTAAGAGCTTTAACACTTGCAAGTCAACTATGAGAGGAGCTTTGTCCTACTGTGTGCATTTATGTCTCTCGGAGAGGTCAGAGAACCTTAACAGCAATGCACATGTAGCAATTACTAAGGAGGTGCTGAGAACAGTAGCTTATTTAAATGAGGATTTTTTTCTCTCCTCCTTTTTGCTATGCATCTTGCAAAAGCCAAGTGCGACAGAGAGAAAGAGTGCAGTGTTCTCTCTCTCTCTCTTCACTTGGTGGTTTGACGCCCGCTCCGGGGCTGAACATCACAGGAGCGGCTGCTGAAAAAACAGGTTGTATGGGTCCTTGCACACAGCCTGCCTGTGGTGCTGCCTGAAGGACTGCCATGGAAACAAGGAGTGTGACAGGCTCCGGGGGGATCTGCCACAGCTGCAGGCACTTCCTTTTTGACAGCCTGATGAAGACATCACTGCCACACCATGCACAACAACAACTACTACTGCTGCTGGAGAAAAAAAAATATGATCAAACAATGTTAACTGCTGTGTGGCTGAAATGTTCATTAGTGGGCTTGTAAAACATCCAGGGATGTTTTCCCACCACATTTGGGGACCATATTGCACAATGACTTCCTCTGGTGAGATTCCTGACTGTCCCAGGAGAAAATACACTGATAAATAATTCCTTAAATATGATTACACGACTCCAAAGATGGGCTTTAGTTTGTGTGGGAAAAATAAGCGCACGCTGGTGCATGAACAGTCAAATCAACAATTGTTGCAGCCCTGTCAGAGTATCCCACTGAATATGAATGATAGCCAACAGCCAAGATCAGAACTTCAGCGTCGCTGTTCCAAAGAGTTGACAGCTTCGAGGAGGTAAACGGAGTCCCACGGGAACTCTCGTAATGTCATGCACAACATTATGCAGTCCATCTATAAAACCTGAGTACTACTATGCTATAGTTCCCATGGATTTTCAGGTATTTGCAGTGAACTCAGCTAGTTTGTAATGTTACTCATCAAGTACCCGGGGAGTTTTACTTCTTTGGTTTTACCTCTCATGGAACCGCATGGACCCATCCCTTTCCCTTTCAGCACAGCCAAAACCAACAACCCCCCCTCTCCAGCCCCAAAGGAGCCAAGAATGTTGGAGGGTTTCAGCCAGTGTGTGGGATTTGGCTCCTCAGAAGCTCACGGTCACCTCCACACCCTCTCACTTTGAAACAGACCCCTCGTGGCAGCTCCTGGGAGATCCCAGTGATGTCTCTATCAGCCTGTCAAAAGAGATAGCCTGGGGCTCCACTAGGTCCCCCTGAGCCAATCAAACTCTTCACAAAGCACAGATAGATGCTCTTTCACCAGCACGCTGCTCCTGAAGAGGGGTCACCCAGCCACGGTGCTCAGTCCCCCAATCGGTTTGAACAAGCTCCCATTGTGGGCCCATTCCTTCATTCAGCTTCACCTTCAGCATGTGTACTTCAAGTATCGTGTCTATCTGAAAGCCAAAATAAGGAATAATTTGTCTTGGTTTGGCTCATTTACACAGTTTGTTCTGTAGCTGCTTTGAAGCACCTGTCTGATCCCAAGTTAACCGTTCTTCTGTAATTAAAAAAGGAAAAGTTGTAATTATTTTGTATATGGACACTAAATGTGCAAGAGCCCAGACAGCTCGCAGACTACATCCTTCACACTGGGAAAAACTGTTGCGGGAAGTACGGTGGAAAAACGAAGTATGTATGTGTGTGTAACCATTAGACAAGCCAGGTGATTTTAGTGGAAATCCAAAGCACTAAGTGCCGAGGATGGAGAGAGCACTCTCTCTGTGAGACGAGCATTTTCTCTCTCATCTGGACCCTGTTATTGTGAGAAGACAACAATGAATGCATTAGGAAGCACAGTGGAGCCACACAGCTTTGATGTGAGCTTGGTAACCAAGGCACAGCGGTGGCCGGTGTGTGAGCTCAGTTTCAATGGCTGTGTTGTGTAATCAGATGTGTTTACTGTGTATTCAAGTAAAGAAGTGGTGTAATCCATCCTCAGTGGGATGCAGTTATTGAGGGGAGCAAAACAAGAACTCAGTCTGATCAAGATTCTTTATTCAGGATTCTTGCAAACGCTCCATTTGATGAAGTAAACATGACGTTTTTTGCATAATTTTAATGTAAAATGTCAGATACAAATAAAGAACAGGCAGCTGGAATTAATACAAAATGCAGAACATAAATATATACCAATACGCATTTGTTAAGTGAGAGAGAATTAAGAAAACTGGCAGCAATAAGTTATATAAAAAGAATTTGTACCATGAAATATAGTAAATAATAATAATCTGCTCATATGTGTGTAACAAAATATGCAATTTTGTCTTGAATATATGAAGCTATTTTTGGAAAAACGAGCAATAAAACAAGAGAATCATTGCACTTGTCAGGTAAGCTTGTATTATCTTTACCTTGAGGCAAATTTCTCAGTTACACCAAAGTAAGAAGAATAAAAAAGCAAAACAGTGGAGGTCTAAGGTAAGCACAAGCTGGTGCCTTTCATTCCTTTTCTAAATTACATCCAAAGACGAAGGCTGAGTCTTGCAATGTTCTTTTTTCTTTACCTCCACGCTGGTGATTGACAGCGCCATGTGCTGCCCTCCTAGCTGCTGCAGTTCACAGCCCCTGTCGGGGGGGTGGCAAACACACAAGGCAGAGTGTGGCTGGTTGCCCTCTCAGCAGCAGGGGGCACAGTTAGGGTGGCGTGGTGGGGTATGCAGGGTCACGGGTTCGGCTGGCGCTGGAGCATTGTTGTCAGGTGGGCTGCAACGTACCACATAAAACAAAAAGACCAGCCTTTCATCCTGCGTGTCTGCAGAGCTCACTTCTTCTTCCGCGGCTGGTTCTGGCCGGTGGCTGCTCTCAGCGTACTGTACTGCACCTGTAAAAACAAACAGGAGTTTGGTCAGAGGCAGGTAATCCGAGCTCAGTGGAGCGCACGGTAATGGCTCCCCCGAGGAGAGCTGGTGCAGAGAGGAAAGCGAGGCGGGCTCGCCTGTAATGAATCATTTTTTAAACACAGGAGCAGAGGGGATTAATCACAGGGAGGAAGGATTTGAGAAGTCAAGGGTTCTGTACCAGCGTACCCCCTCCCCTCCCCACATTCTGCTCCAGACTCACAATATTAGAACCAGAAATCAACTGTTGAGATGTCCTGACAGACCAGTGAGGGACAGGCTGAAGACAGAACCACACATTGAAAGTTAAGTCTCTTAAAGAAAACTTTGTAATGAAAAGGTTTAGGGATGCACAATATTATTGGCATGGTATCGGTATCAGCCGATATTAGCAACAAAGTTAAATATCGGATATTGGCCATTCCATCAAATAACTCACCGATATAAAAGTCACTTTATATATATATATATATATATATATACAGTATACATATATAGAGCTGGTTTTGTATGACTGTTCGAGTGTTATCATTGTGTTAGAGTAAATATCATGAATACATTTGACATTAAACATAATCCAAGTTGAAGTGTTGCATCATTTTCAGCCCCTTTTTGACATCTGCATCTGGTAGCAGGTCAAACTGACAAAGACCACGCAGAATAATGTAGTATTTTAATTCCACAGCAGAGAAAGCTATGTAGTTTCTGTAAGTAGGTCTAGGGGAAAAAATATTGGTATCGGTATTGGTTATCGGCCAAATAAGTTTTAACATATTGGCATATCAGATATCGGCCAGAAATCTAATACCGTGCATCCCTAAAAAAGTTATATCATCTGTTTCTGTGAAACTTTCTCCAAGACTCTGCAAACCTCTGAGGAAGTGACTTAAATTGCTTTAGGTTAAAACAAGATCTGAAATGTGCTGGGGAATTACAATTCTCTGCTTGTTACATATTAAGGCTGCACAATATATTAAATATGTATTGTCATATCACAATATCAACATTGCAAATGACTGCTTGGGTTGTAAAAACACAGGGAATGAGTTGTGAACATCATCACAACACAGTTTTATTGTGATTTCATCAGAATATTCAAATCATATTTGCAATTTCAGGTTTATCTAACACTGCACGTCCATATTTAAACTCAAGTTTTGCTCACATTTTTAAAAATAATATAGAATGTGTGCGTTGTACAATCAAGTTCCTTTTGACACCCAGAGATTATTAAACTATTCTCTTTTTTTTTCAAAATTACCACCTAAAGTGACATCATAATCTAAAGGAGAAGGAGAAAATCATAAGGCAAGCTGACACGAAGAGTTGGAATTTGAAAACTAGCGTTTGAAGTTTGCTTGCCGAGCTCAAACAATACAGTGGATCTGTTGAATAAAGGTAAGAACTCTCCTATGCTAATTAGCCGGTCTCCATTATTAGAATGGGAGATGGAATGTGGGAACAAAGTGGCTGCCTCCTGCATCAGCACATGAAACTGTCCTCAGAACTGACAGATGCTTCTTATTTCAAGACAGACACGTTGTCGTCAGAAGTCCCCGTTTGAGGCACACTTTGTAGATGTGCAAAGACACTAATTGCCAAGTCACATTTGCAAGAAAGACAGGAGTCAATTTTTTCCCTTTTTTGCCATTTTGTGTCCACACCTATCTGAGGATTGAAGTTCTAAGTCAACAAAAACAAAATATGTGGTGTGTTGTTTTGGATCTCCTGTGTATATGATGTTAAGATTATTTTTCACAGCACATAATGAAACGTGCCTATGATGAATCTTAAGGGTGTTTTGTTTTGGTTTTTCATGATTCAAGCTATTTTCAAGATGCAGTTCCTCTTTTAAACCAGGCTAAAAAGTATTGTTTCCATGGGATTTGAAAGCGAGTCATTTTTCAAAGCTCAAACATTGCATCCCAACGGGGGAAAAAAAAAAAAAGACATACAAAGGATTCTGAATCAAAATGTATCCACCACCTTGTTTTGCCAACTCAGTCAGCCAAATCTCAAACAACACAGGCTCCCTCCGACATCACAGAGAAGTCAGCGGCGGCTTGCTGCAGGAGGACATCAAGGGTGCAGCTGAGAAACAGGCCGGGGTGAGAGTGCCGTGCCAGATTCAGACTGTCAGGATTCCTTGCTCAATTCTGCCTGGTGAGATGAAGGCATTGTGTGGCACTTCATTTCCTGGCTGCGCAAAATTCTCAGGCGGAGGACCGCGAGCACCCAGCGCCACTTATAACAACCTGACAGCTCTTCTCAGCTCTGAGATGTAAATGCAAATGACATATCAGCCGTGGCTAATATGTAATCACATATGGCACCCAGCAAGACGACTGGGGCTCACGAATAGATTAATTGACTCTACCACCCTGAAAGTGACTGAGGCCACATCAGAGTTTCTGTGCTGACACAACAGCCAGAGACGTCAGGAGCCCTCTGACGGCACTCGACCAATCACCGGCTCCGGTGTCACCCAGCTTCAATCAAACACACAATAATTGCTAATAACGGACAAGGCTGCAGAGACATAGCTGAGGACAGATCTGAGCCTCTCCTCGTTCAGGCACTGCAGCGACTGTGGATGGAGTTCCACTGAGGAATAATTGGGCCAGGGCTGCTTTAAAGGCGCGAGTCCATTAATAATCAAACAAAGCCAGAGGATATGTTTCTGCAACACTTGGGAATTCTGGAACAGCAAATAATGCAGACATCTTTGGGGAATTCCATCCCTATCTGAATGCAAAATTGGACCCTTACCTTTTGAATATCAGACGGCACCCTCTCGAGAAAATCCAGTATTTCATTACTGTCAATAGTATATGGGTTGCGCAGTTTCTTGGTAAATTTGTTAATGCCTGTAAAAACAAACAAACAAACTGATAAATAACTAAAACTCATACATTACTTGGCAGTTTTATATTTTATATGGAACAATTCAAACAATAAAAAAAAGTTGTGTAAGTCTCTTCGTAGCCTTCGGTTTCTTCATCTGTTTAATATAAGATAAATTTAAGCCAAATAAGCATAAATACAACAAGAAGGGATGAAAAAGTTGGTAACTTTCAGTAGAATAAAAAAAAACATTCCCAACAACTTTTTCCTCACTGTTCTTTGCTTGAATCTACTGGTGTTGTGTATCTATATTTACTTTGCACATGGCTGCGTACCACAGAGAGAATATCTCCGGGGTCCTGTAATGGGACTATTATATTCACAGTTCAGTGCTGTGTGTACCTTAGCATACAGACAAAGAACCTAAGGACTTAAATATGTGCAAGCAACTTGAAAGGCTTGCCTTGCAACCACAGAGATGGGGGTTAACTGGGGAGGCAGAGTGTCTCAGACTGAGCATTTTTTGTTTGATATGGTAGGTTTTTTGGTATTGATTGCATTGAAGGCAGTGTGGAAGTTCTGTGGTTGTGGGCTTACAGCTGGAGGAGGAGAGCTCTGGTAAGGGCAGCGTTTCTCCCTGACCACTGAGACGATGGACTGCTCTGTATGACTACAGCAGATAATGAGAGGCTAGACCAGGAGCCTACAGACTGCCCAAGGACATCATGTATTATATACAGCTTGCTGCTCTACCGCGGCTTTGTTTTCACACAAACTCTTGGTCATGCCTCTGCTGCATCAGCCCACACTGGGCAGAGTGAACCTCTGCAACCGTGTGATCTCTGTGCATTTGCAGAGGTGTAGATACAGAGTTTTTGAATTATTGCACTACGAACAGATTTCCAGACAAACTGCTGAATTTACTGTGCTAGTTAGGTTTTACAAATACTACAGCAGTTTATTTTAATATTATTTTTTAGCATGTGCTGACTACAGCCTAAAGGAACAAGCAAGAAGCAAATAGTGGGAGGTAAGTGGCATTCAGGAATATCCAATGCTCTTTCATTCATGCAAAAAATTTGATTTCCATTAAAGATTTGGCCAATTAATTTGGCTTTTCTTTTACATGAAAACTTACCCCATGCCAGCACAATGTATCTTAGTGGGATGAAATACAACATTGTTGCTGCAACAAACAGCACCAGGCAGGCCAAGCATGACATGAATGGCACAGACCAGTTGAATATGCTGCAACAGAAAATAAGAGTGAAATTAACATCAAATGAAAATTTAAAGTTAGTTGAAAAAACATATATTCAATAATATCAAATAAAAACAAATTGCTGACTAAATATGGAGCGTACTTCTTGATTCGCTCTCCGATGTTTGCAATTTCTTCCAACACATTCTGGACCACCAGAACCACTTCCTGCACCATATGTATCTTATCCATCAAACCCTTTTTTCCAGACTCCTAAAAAATAAAAAAAGACAAATGCACAGATACTGATGAGGTGCACCGTATGTCAATTGTTGGGAAGGGCAGACAAAGACCAGTTTATTGCTGCAGTGTTATCATGTGTAATTTATCTATTCAATGGCCCATAATGAGCAAACACTGTACATCTTCAGACTTTGCTTTTGAAGATGAGACAGACTCAGCGCTCAGAAGCTGTTATGTGGATGGCTGAGAGATTTCATCTTTTGTCAGCCACGCACAATGGAGCTGTTGCACAAGTGCAGCACAATCAAGACTCTCTGGTAGATGAAAAGTACACAAAATGGCCATCTGCAATCAGACGGATGAGGCGAGAAGTGCAGGGGCCTCACGAGTTGGAGGAGAGAATCCGTTCCTGCAGCCTGCGTAGGGCAAGTTGGAGCATGTTTTTACTAACGCGAGAGGTCCGCCTTTCTAACGTAACCTGAATATTCTCTGTAATTTTTTTTTTTTTTAAAAACACGGTCTGCTTTGAATGCCACTCAGATACGTTCCTATTCACATTTTTAAAGCAGGATTCTTGTCAAAACAAATGCACATTAAGAATCATTTGCAAGTGAAACACTGATAAAATGAAGAATTTGGCAGAGCGGCGAGTCCGTTTTGAGGAGGGTTGGACTGTTTGTGTCCAAATGAAAGAAATGCAATCACATCAAGCTTGGAAATAACGCCAACTGTGAAGCCTCCCAGGGCAGAGGAGTGTGAGATAACAAGAGTAAAACAAGCTAAAGAGAGCTGAGAAGCCTCACATCAAAAGGAGGAAATAATGACAGGAATGATGACAGAGAGAAGAGTGGGAGAGGAAGCGTGAAGGGTGGGGGTGGGGGGGTGGGAGCTCTAATGGACCCTAACAGGAGGCTTGAGGATGTCTATATGTTTGTGTTACAAGTCAGCTGAAGCCGCAGCCTGTGTGCATTGACATGGCCCAGACAGAATGCCTTTATCGGAGCTTCATGAGGCCGCCCCTGGGAACACGCTGTCTGCCAGCACAGAGAGACTCCCCACTGCCGGGCCCACTCTCCTCCGCGAAAAAGGCACAGGAAGAGAGCAATTCCCACACTAGCAGAACCTCCCCCACTGGGCTCTGATCTGGACAGACACTGAAGGCTCAGCACGGTCCAAAAAAGGAGAAACTATCACAAATATGCTTTTCCTCTTGCACATTAACGTCTCGTGGTCTCATTGTGGCGAAGGAGGAAAATCAGTGTTTATGCATCGTTCCACTGGACAGCATCACATGTAGCATTTGCTCCATGCCAGATGTTAGACGAGTCTGCAAAGTAGATGTTAAACTTTATTTTTTAATGATAGTTCAGATCTTTTAAAGTGGGGATCTGAACATTTTGTGTCTTGTTGTAGGCAAGTTAATTGCTCATGAGTGGAACTAAAATCATCTTAAATACATAAAATAAACAGAGGTATCCATAGCCAGGTAAATCTCTTGTGATTATCTTTATTCACCTGCTTTAAGTTTCCTGAAATCTTCTACTGCTTTAACAACCAAACTGGAGTCTTTACTGCAGTAAACATGATATTCTGTTTCTTTTTCATTTTAATATGTAAAACGAGATTATGTGGTGTAAGATAAAACAAACAAAGACCATCCATCGTTAATGGAAAAGGATGAGTAAACTGGGGATGGTTTAAATGAGTCCTGAAATGTTCCTACTGATCAGAAAACCTGAGTGAAATCTCATTTTCATCTCAGATAAACTGGAAAAGCCTCTTTTTAAAGGTGCGGTAATGGAGAACCAATTTGATCTCCTGTGGAAAGGTAAACAGTCCCACAGACATGTGTGCTGTTAGCAAAGGGGGGGGGGGGGGGGGGGGAGAAATAAGCTTGTTTAACATAATTTTAATTAGAAATGAACTGTGCCAAATTTGACTTCTCAGATTGAACGTTGGTCTAAATGAAAAGCACTTGTGTTCCAGGCAATTTATCTCTTGAGTTAAAATAAACTATATATATATTTTTTTTTACTGGGGTAAGGTTTTAACATGTCGTACAATCTCTCAGTGCGCACAGCAGATAGCGTGTCTGAGTGGTGTGCTCAAGGAGACCCAGGGGTGACTGTGGACTGTTGGGTGAGAGAAGGAGTAACCCCGAAGCCCAGTCTGGCACCCCCACAAACCCCCCTCCTCGGTGAGTCCCATGGGCAGAGCTCTGTGAACAAGTCAACCCCAGACCAGCACTGCCAGCCGGGGGGCAAACAAAGAGCTGTTTCATCTTCTCTGCTCATTTCTGTCGGAGATCTATGGACTTGTTTAGCTTTTCTGTTTCTTTATGCTATGATTAAATATTGTCTATCTGCTCAATTGATACCTAAGGCCAAGGGGAAGTCAGTTTGCCCACACATAATCTGTAAGCTGTCTCCTTCCCTGAGGACAGATTTGTTCACAGGCAGAAAATCTGTTCTGTATTATTCTGCTGTAACACCGCCTCGCCTTTCGTCTCTCTTTAACGTCATGCCTGCACATTCGTATTGCTCCGTCTTGGGTTTACATACTTTGGTTCTCGGGGGTGGGACGAGGGAGGATAGGAACATATTTGTGGTAATCATAACCTTTTCATAGGGAAAAGCCTTTATTCTCATGCTAGAGGAAAGGCTAGGGGAGTATAACAAGGCTTTGAAGTCATCAAATTTAACACTGATCACTCTTTAACCCCAAATATTTTTAAAGAAGACTGTGATAGGGTGTGTAAAACTACACTGTTTGATCTAACTCAATGATATCACATTCAAGTGACAGCAAGACCATAACAAGACTTTCAAATAAGCCACTTTAAATTAAAGCTGACAGCTTAAAACAAACATGGGTGAGTGCTTAATTAGTAAATGAAAGGAGATATTTCATTTTCTGAGAGTGTGAAAGGGCTTAGAAGGCTCATGGAAAACCTTTCAAGAAGCTTTAAGAGGCGAAGGTTGAGTTTGCAAACATGAAGCAAAGAATCTGCCATTTCATTAATGTAAAAAAAAGGGGAATAAAATCCTCTTATGTATTGAAGTTTCAAGGTATGTGAAGGCGTCATAATAAAATCACTGCAATAAAAGTAATCCTTCTCTACTTAACGTTCATAAAACACTTGTTTTCCTTGTTGCTGCCATTTGTTTAAGCACCGGCTTCTTGTGTGCGGTTCTAATACAAAGTGTGTCTTTGCAGACGTATCATGCATGTTCTATCTGTGAATTAGCCCATACTTTCAGACAGGATTTGGTGGATGTGTCTGTTTTTCTGAAAAGAAGCTGGCTCTTCAATAGCCTCTGGTCATCGCAAAGGAATATATTGAGTGCATTATGGATATGAATCCTGGGCCTAGACACACAGAATAAGGGTCACCGCTTGGAGGCTTCGTATTAGTTCCACACTTCATAGCCATAAAACAATAATGCTCATCCCTGGTAACTTTTCCTACTTTACTTAAGACAGTGGGATGTGTGCAATTGAATGTGTTGCGCTGCAGGAAGTATAGTTTTTAGGTTACTTAAAGAGTTCCTGTTTTGTTTTTCAAGAGACACTAAAAACAAGATGGGCCGAGTGTCAGTTTAGAGCAGGGTCATTTTTTGTGCATTTGTTTGGACAATAATGTTTCTTTAGTATTAAGGAGATTTAGTGTAGGATGCACAACATAATTAATATAAAATAGCTCAAAAGCAGATTTACAACACAGATTAGATGAAAAATTAACAAGTTTTTAAAAGGCTGCAGTGTCTAGTGATATTTAACACACCAAAAAAAACATTGCACTACTTTGAAAAAGGCTGGACAACCTGAAATGTGCAAAAATATTTCTGTTATTGCATGTCTGACTTAGCCATTTCTGCTAAAAAATACAGTTTATTTTAAAAACATTCTTCCACCAACCAGTGATTTATAATATGACATGGTAAAGTGCCTAAATTAAAGAAGATAGGTACACATCAGTCATATCATTCAACTTATAAATACACACAATCTTTACCTTGAAATTTTTTGAAACTGATAAGATAAAATACCTTTTCATCGTCCTCTTCGTCGTCACCCATGGGCATGTTCACCTGCAAGAAAATAAAGGGTACGAGGTGATTTCCAACGAACGAGACATGTGGGCACTGAAGCATTTTTAACAAACACCTAGTAATGAAATTTTCTTTGAGCACATTCACCCCTATTGAGAGAGGCTTGTTTCCATAGAGACTGCATCACAGGGGTGACCTCACACAAAAGAAGAGGTGAAAAAGGGCCTTCCTTGCAAGAGCACTGTCACACAAAAGCAATCTCTTTTCTCCACAACATAAGCACACAGAAAAACAGAAAGACGAAAGGAAAAAACATTTAATTTAGATGTTGTTGCCTAGATCACTTTTTATCAAGTCATCCCCGGCCCCCACTGTGGTGCACACTGTGACATTGCCTGGGTGCAGAGCTGTGACATTGCCGACCAAAGGGTCACAAAGGGGTGACAGAGTCTCCACAGTGGATATGAGGGTGAGCATGGACTTTTCTCTGAGACGGCATCTCAGCCAGGAGCCGTAAAGAAGAAGGACTGGACCTGAAGGTTTTATTTGTGGTGATGGTGTGTGAACCGGCCTGGCCTCTGGGTGACCAGATGGTGAAATTGGGGGGCAGTCAGAAGTGTGAAAACAGCTAAATTCATGTGTAAAAGAGTAGAAAAAAAGCAAATGATATATGTGGTGGAAAAAAATCAAAGACCTATATTTCCAAACATATTATAAGTAACACTGACATTTAAAATGAAAACATTTGAGTAATTTCTTACTGCTTGATGTTTTTAAATAATGTAAGAGTTGTGTAACTAGGTATATAACATATATAATATATATAGGTAACCTTCACATCACTGTGAAGAAGACGAAAGAGATCGTCGTGGACATCAGAAGGAACAAACACACTTAACCCCCCTGAACATAGGAGGATCTGTGGTGGAAGTGGTCTCCAGCTACAAGTACTTGGGTGTGAACCTGAATGACAACCTCAGCTGGAGCAACAACACCACCAGCCTGATCAAGAAAGCTCATCAGAGACTCTACTTCCTCAGGCGGCTGAGGCGAGCTGGTCTGGGAAGCTCAGTCCTCACCTCCTTCTACAGGTGTGCAGTGGAGAGCATCCTGTGCTCCAGCATCAACGTGTGGCATGGAGGCTGCACAGCTGCAGAAAGAAAAGCTTTGCAGAGAGTGGTGAAGGCTGCACAGAAGACTGTCAGAATCAGCCTCCCCACCATCACAGACATCTGCACCTTCAGATGTAGGAAGAGAGCCACCTGCATCATGAAGGACCCCACTCACCCAGCACACACACTTTTTGCCCCGCTCCCCTTGAGCAGAAGGTTGAGGAGCATTAAGTGTAGAACCACTAGACTGAGGAACAGCTTCTACCCTGAAGCTGTTAGACTTATGAATCTCTAACCAGAATAATCACTGTGAAAAATCACATCATGTTGCTGCTGATTTATTTCATGTTGCTGCTGATTTATTTCATGTTGCTGTGTTCATTCATACTCATCTGCTCACACAGATTCATGTTCGTGCTGCTGTTCAGCATATTGTTTTTATACTACTAGTGCTTAATGCATTTTTTGTTAATGTTTGTCTTAGTTCATATCTTAGATCTTATTACTGTTTTTCTTTTACATTTGAATACTTTTGTTGGATGTAACAGGGACCCTGTGTACACAATTTCGTGCCATCCCATGTACCACATGTGATGTGTACAACAAATAAAGAACCTTGAATCCTTGAATATGTTTACAGGTATTTTACGCTAAAGATAAAAGAGAAAAACACCTACATATGTGTATAAAAATGCTTTATGTTATTTTACAAAGCATCCTAAAGCATAAAGGTTTGAAAAACAGGTTTCAAAACATGGTGGTGTGGTCATTCAGGTAATCCAAAGTGCCTGAAGTTCATGAAAGGTTGGTTTTTATAAAAACAATTGTTTCTGTTCAGTGCCCTGAGATGACTTCTGTTGTGACTTGGTGCTATATAAATAAACTGAATTCAGCGTTTCCCCTAGATGACTAGCCATGGCGAAGCGCTCATCTCGTCCATGATTTTCATGATTTTTGTCGACGGGGGGGTCAGCATGCGCTGCCTTTAGCTTTTTAGCTAGCGTGCCAGTATTCCACGCCACTAGTTTAGCATTACGCCAGTGTCGACGGGTGCGCCCAGTTCGTTCTGGTAGGCGGGGCGCTCGGTTCTGTTAACGAGTCGGGGTGCTCCGCTTGTATAATGATAGGGGAAACACTGGAATTTAATTGAAAATAATAGGGAAAAAAAAAATAGTTATTAAAAAAAAAACATTGAAAGTTCTCTAAAACCAATGCCATTGGAAAATGTAAGAATTTAGCTTTATTGTCCCCTGTGGACTTTTGGTTCATATTTAGATATATATTTTTTTAATTAACCATATCTGTCACAAACTTAACTGCAGGTCTGAAACTGAGATGCTGGATCCAGTCTGAATGCATTAACCTGTAAAAGCGTGCATTTGCAGATTTGCACAGTTAAACACCGAAGGGTCCTGATCACTCACCAGGTCCTGGTTGGAGCTGTACTTTTCTGTGCAGAGCTGGATGTAGTTCCAGCCAATGAGCAGAAGCAGAAAGAGAGGCAGCATGAAGAGCTCCCAGTGCCACACCGACACCAGGAAGATCTGAGGAGACAGCAGATGACAGTTTACTCCAAACCCCGTCACACTGCAGCACTCTCAACCAGCTTTCCAATTTCAGCAAACCTGTTCCGAAAACAACATCTTTAATGGATTTGACCACATCCTAAATCTCACACCAAGAACTACAGTACTGTAAAGCCTCAGATTTATCGCCATTTGCAACAGATTTTTCTCCTGGTGGTTTGAAAGTTAAAAGAAAAAATCAAGTTTTAATATCTTTAAATCCTATTTGCAGTAGCACTGTGCTGGCGGAGAGCCTTACAGCTGAACAGAAAGCATGACATGGATAGGCATGATGGGCTGTCTTTTAACTCGCACATCAAATCCTCTTAGATTTGGAGGCAGCGACGCTCTCTGACGAAGCACATATGGCAACCGGAGAAGCATTTGCAACATTTGCCCCCTCCGTGGTGATGATACTGAGAAGAGTCAAGACCCCTGGTAGAAATAAGATGGCTCACGCTGAATGAGTAATCCCTTATAATTCCGTAAAAGAGTGGTGCTAAGCACATTGCACAAACCCCACTGCATTTCACAGCAGAGCGCTAATTGGACGGCTGCATTTAAACCCATTTACTGACAGCCTAATGAGTCTGTCTCCAACTGAAATGATCAGAAGCATGTGAGGTGGAATCACACATGCAGGTTGACAAGGACGAAATTTAAAAATAAAAATAAAAAGTCCCCCATAGCAAGCTAAATCTTAAAATCTATTATAGTGTGAATAGGTGCCAATACTCCCAACATATGGTGTGCTTTTATTCATCAGACGTCTTGCATCAACTTTTTTCTTTCTATTTCAGGTTAATTTTCTGTCATTATTGTGCCATCTAAAACAGTTACAGTCATTTGGCTTGCCTTGTAAGTTTATTTCTAACATGAAATGTACTCCTATGTTAAGCACATGCTGCGCAGTCCAGGTTCAGAGAGCTTGAGGGTGTCCAGAGTACAAACAATATGTCTGAGTTAAACCTGAGACAGAATGTAGAGCTCCAAGGCCTTTAGGCTTCAATAGCAGGACTGTAAACAGCAGACTGCTCCTGTCATAGCACCAACATAGTCTGTGTATTTTGCTCTGGGGGGCAGTCTACCTACTGCCACATCAGGCCTAGGTTCAAGCAGCCATGAGGGAAATGTGTACCTTGAGTAACACAGACAACATCGTGATCCACTGCCCTAGGCGTCACCACTGCAGAGCTTATTATCAACGAGTACAACCTGTGAACGGCTGGGTGAACATAAGAATCATATAGGAACAGAGTGGGATCACCAAGATGCAAGGAAACAGACAATACGCACAATATGTTATCGTTAATAAGAGCTCATTTGAATTACGGCAAATAACAAGAGCTGGTGGGGGCCAAAAATGGTAAACAATGAATATGCATGATGTTCAGAGATAGCTGCACTACATCTCTCTGTTATGAATAACTTACGTCATGTATTGTCACCTCAGTTCCCATGAGGCAATTCTAAAGCGACTCTCCCCTCACCCCAGAGGAATTCTGCTGGCTAGTGGACAGGTAGCTTGTCATATTCCCAGTATCCTTATAAAAAAAGGCAAACAGTACAGGGGGGAGTGTGCCTGGAAGCTGACATGAGCCCAGCAGGAAGGCTGAACCTCTTTGCCCTCCCTGCAAAAGCTGCTACATTAACCACTAAAGTCTAATTGCTTGGTCTCTGTCTTCCTGTGCAAGTCAACAGAGGAAGCCAATTCATTTCTGCCCAGGGAGCCAGCAGAGAGAATCTGTCACAGGTATTCATAATCGCCCACTAATGCAAATTTCTGCTCACTGGGTTCTGGCTCAGTGGACAAGATAAAAGCCCGCAGAAATACAATGCCTTGTGTCTAAACTGAGAGCTTAAATGAGGCTATAAACCAAAACTGTCAGAAATATCTCCTCAATTCCTCCCTCATGGTATGTCAAACCCATGTGTTTAGGATTTACATGCTTTTTTTAACAGGAAAAGGAAGAGAAACATCTGGGGGATCCTCCCAGATTCCTTCACTCAGGTGCACAGACTGAGACTTTAGCCGTCAGATATCCCACGATAATGAGAAGAGGCAAGACAGTACCATCCACTCTTCTCACAGTCTGCAGAGTTTCTGTGAATTTTAGACAGAACTAATCTCTAACAAAGGGGTTTTGGTTTGTTAGCAAGAGGTTGAGTGATTAAAATACATGTTAAACAAAACGCAATCGTATGACGTAAATTGGAATAAAAGAAGTTTCATCACTGATGGGTCCCACTTTCAGTTCAAAATGTTAACTTTTTATTCTGCAAATTACAGCCAAACAAGGCAAACAAGCTGCCTGGTCATTCACTGCATTTTAAAAATAGGGAGATAAAGCAACAGACAAAAACAAAGGAGGTGGAAATTAATAATATATCTGAGAATTTTGGGTTAAACACAGCAGAAGTTGATAACAGGCACATTGTAATTGAACAAATGTGCTTCTGGGAAGAGTGTTTTAATGTAGGAAACAGTTGACAAATACAATTTAGCAGAAAAATGTCTGTATGATTATGCAAAGGGTGCCTTGGGGGAAAATGAAGAAAATGAATTAATAAAACTATTAGCGCACAGTGGAGTAGATGATGGAGATGCACTCTCCTTAGCCACCTGTAAGAGCTTGGAGAAGAGGGCAACCCTGGGCAAAGCATTTCTGCCAGGAAGGTTAAGAATGGCTGACAGATTTGTTTTATGACGCCATTAATATGATTCCGCTAAATGCATTCTGCACCTTCTCATGCAGATCCCCTGGCCAGCAGAATCCAGCACCTAATAATAAAGCACTCAGCGATTAAAAGTGTGAATAAAATAACTTAAAGCTGAGCAAGCACAGCAGCTCCCACCACCCACACTCTCCCAGGGGAGCACGACAGGATCATAGCAGGAACAAAGGGACAGAGACACCTTCCATAAAAGTTTCTGGAAATTGATTAACAAGGGGTGGCCCAAACTATGAACCTAAGCCACCGACCGCCAGACTACTAGGCTGCCAAAACTTCTCTGTTTACACCACAACAACAACGGGCTGGAAAAATAGGCATCACATCAGTATAACACAAATAATACTGTTGTTGAGCCAAAAAAAGCAATAAATCATATCACATAGGGGGAAATACTTTCATTACAGTTTGCGCAAAACAATGCAATTCCACTATTTTTTTAATCAGGTACATTTGTAGAACACCCTTATTTGTTTTTCCAACTATTCACCAACCAAAAATACTGAAGATTTTATCTCGACTCCATCTTCACAACTTCTCCTCAGTTGCACTCCACTTGGAAAGCTAAACAAAGCGAGGAGAGCGCCAGCCAGCATTATGAGGGTCAGTCATGGGTGCCGTGGACGGATGCCAGATAACGTGAACGAACTGAAAGAGTTTAAGACAGACTAAAGGCTGCAGGGTGTGTGTCTGCATGTGTGTGGTTGTCTAAGTGACTAAAAGAAACAAAACAGACAACTAACAGAATCTGTCTAGTGTAGGAATGTACAGGAATTTGTGAAAAATTTGTTAAATTATTTATTATTTTACATTTTCTGTCATATATATATATATATATATATATATATATATATATATATATATATA